CCTAACCCTAACCCTAACCCTAACCCTAACCCTAACCCTAACCCTAACCCTAACCCTAACCCTAACCCTAACCCTCTCAATGGGTGTGGCGCGTGTGACGGAAAAGTGCGTCACGGTCACGGAAACAGGCGGCAAGCACCGTGGGACCATTCAGGTCGAGCGCGGGCAACGGAATAGAGCTAGATCCCCAGGCTTTTTGACCTAACGCACCACGTCTTCACCAAACGTGCACCTTCGCTTCGCTCAGGAGCACCCCCTCCCTAAGGTCCAAAAAACACCCCATAACCACGGCAAGGAAATTGGCAGGCTAAGGGGGTGTCTGCGTCATTTGTGGGGCGTTCCGGATAGGAAAGGAAGGGACAAGAAGAAGATGAACGTGGACGTTCAGGTGCGCGAGAGCAATGCTGATCAGGCCGACGTGTCAAGGAATCGGGAAAGGGCTGCGAGAGGGGTTGCCCAAAAACGAGGCCAGAAACGCCATCGCAGAAACGTTGTTGAAAACTCCAAATAGAAAACAATGAGGGCTCAACAGAACGCATCCGCGTCCGACTGTGTCCCCTGCGGCCGTTGAAGAGAGAGATTTCACGAGGTCAACGAAAAGACGGGGAAAGAACCAAAATTGTCGGGGACAGAATAGCGATGTTTTTTTGCCGAGAGTGAGGCGCAGGAGCCAAAATGGGACATTGGAGAGAGTTCGGCGAACGAGAGTCGCCTACATCGATTGACAAGTGATGTCTTTCTTGAATACCGAGCGGCAAGAACTAATATTCATGAGAAGATGTGAAATGCGCACCATGTGAGGAAACGGCTGGAGCAAGAAGAGTCGGCATAACAGTACTGTATAACAACACTGTCTCGTGTTAATTGTCTGAGACTTTACGGCGTCGAATTGGGAAGTTGAGGCATCAAGACCACCTAGTTCTTTCTCCTGAGGGCACAGCATAGCCGCAATTATCCGTCATAATATAGGCGAGCTAAAGTGGGCATTAGATTCGCCTACCCAATATGCAAAGTGGGAAGCACCGTGCCGTCTATATCGCCACGACCGAGGGTTGGGATCTTCACCATGACGCACAGAAATTCCGGAGGCCCAGCAGGTACACGGGTCCCAAACCACGACGAAAGTGCGGCAGAAAAGCAAGCCGGAATCGTCTATCAAGATGGCGATGTAGTTCAGCGTGTTCTCGTCAACTAGCGAACGAGAAACACTACGTCGCCAAGATTAATCTCGCTGTATTCCGGCAGGGGGAGTCATTGCTGGAAGCTAAATGTCGATGAAGGCATCGGAATTTTCAGTGATTTGAAAAACACGTACTCAATTTGAAACCGTTTTCTGTCCCACGCCGATCCACTTCATGCTCAGTCCATGAGAAAACAATTACGCTGCGGAGCTTTTGGCGCAGTCGAAGCACGAAATTTACGTCCAGGAGGCGAAGATCCTCCAAAACATACCGCCCTAACGAAGCCTTCCCTTCCCGCGAACTATATCTTCCCCACATTCAACATGTCTTGCCTCCGTCCATATTTCTGCCTTCGCTTTTTGGGTCGCAGTGAGAGAGAGATAAGGATTTCGTAAAGGATGGGGGATGAGAACAAAAGCGAACGGCATGTGACTTTGTCTGACAAATGTGGCTTGAGTTTACATGTGTTTGGCAAAGGCGTTTATTCCTTCTCCTCATCGTTCGGCACAGCGACCAGGCCCTTTTATTTGTCGTCCGGGAGCATGAACATCGATGAAGAGGCTGTTCTCGGCCTTCTATCCATCGGCCATCGCTCTCAGGCGACACCGTCCGCCGCGACGTCCTCAGCAACACTCAACTCGATATTAACAACTACAGCATCCTCCGTCATCCCGGCCAAACGAAAGCACGACGACCACCCATGTCTGCCTTTTGACCACGAAGATCGACACAAGTCACCACCAGAGACCCACACCGACTCCAATGACACCTCATCAGAGGCCCTCGATTGTATATGCGGGTTTACAGTCGACGATGGGTTTTCGATCGCCTGCGACATTTGTTCGAGGTGGTGCCATTCTGCGTGCTTCGACATCGTGCGCGGGTTCGTACCGGAGAAATTCCTCTGTTGGAAATGCAAACCTCGTTCGGCAGCGGAGAAGGAGAGAGCGGTGAAGTTTCAGCGGGAAAACTTGGGGTTGGACGATCCGAAGAGGTTGGGTGGGAAACACAGGAGGACAAGTGTGGCCGCTATCGATGGGGGGAAGCGTAAACGGCGACCATCCGTCGTACAGCCCACTACGCCTCTGGTCGCAGCGCCGCCACAGCCGGTGGAGGAAGAGCACGTCGAGGTCGAGGAGCCGTGGACGCAGGCGTACGTCCACATCAGCGAGGACATCATCACCAACGACGAGACCCGTGCCAAGCTACGACGACAAGCCCACCACTGGAGGGGTGTTACCGCCGTTGCCGACTCCTCTTCACCGCCGCCAACGACCATCAAGGAGCTGCCGCCGTTGTCGATCCAGAATCCCTTTCTGGCTCTCAACTCGAACCCTCACGTCCTACCACCGACTTATGGGCTACATACGACCGCCCCAATCCCCTCCAACAACCTCATAACCCCCTACAAATCGTCGATTGCCCCCTCAGCCCAGTACTTATCCGACCCACTGAATGCCTACGCTCACCTAGGGATGCCGAAGCCTTTCGTACACCTTATCGGACCACCTCTCGACGTGGCATTAGATTCTCGTCTCGCAGGGAACCACGGGCGATTCGTGAGGAGTGGATGTCGTCCCAACGCGGTCCTACGCCCGGTGCTGTGCGAGAGGGACAAGAATAAGCCGGCGCCGGTTTCGAACACCCCCAGACCGTTCGACCCACCAGCAGAGCGAGAAGAGGACGAAACCACGCTCGGATTCGGCGTCTTTGCGTTGCGCGACCTTAAGGCGGATGAGGAGATCGTGTTAGGTTGGGAATGGGACGATGGCAATGCCGTTCACAGCCTACCTGCGTTATTGAAGGCACCTCACGCTTTTCCGTAAGTCTTTTACTTCTTTTATCTTTCATACCATTGTTTACCGACTTCCAGTCCTCGTTCGCCTCCTACCACCATCAACCCTTCTGCCCACGACTGCGACGACCATAAAACCGAGTACAGTCCGAATGAAATCACCCACCTCCGCAACCAGATGTCGAACATCCTCCACGCCCTCTCCTCGACGTTTACGACCTGCGCCTGCGGAGCACGAGCACGCGATTGTGCCCTGACGCAAATGGCCGCCTTCGTCGATGGTCAATCACAGCTGTTAACACCTCGGAATCACCATGGAGTGACCCACGACGACGAGCAGGAAAAGGACGTTGACCTTGGCCCTCTTGTAGGCCGAAAGCGTGGTTTCAAGACGCGAGAGCGGATACCCTTCAGCGGAGGAATGGGCGGGATGGAGATGGTGCCGCCGGAGCAGGACAATGAGAGTCGAGGGCGGAAGAAGATGACGCTGAACGGGTACCAGGTCAACGCTACTGCGGGCCCTAGCGGTCTCAAACCAGCGTTTTCGATAGATAGAGATCACCGCAAGGATCTACCACCGCCTTTACCCAGCTTTGCGCTGTCGCCATCATCACCGAGTCCGTCGAGAAGGAAGGGCAAGGCGAAGGCGGTCGATACGGATGGTGATGTCCAGATGGAAGATGGATGGTCAGGACGGTCAGGGAAGAGGAGTGGTTCAGTCGATGGGCAAGGTATGTCATTTCTTTGTCCGTTCTCATTTTTTCAAGTCGTTTCGTTTGTTTCTTTCCCGACACCGTCCTATCGCCCCTCATCGTCTTCCCTGTATGCTCATCATCGGCCAATCCTCGTACCGTCTTCCTACATCTATCCTCCTCCAATTATCTTCATACTTATCTTATCCTTTCGCAGCCCAGCGATCGGACCCCTCCAATCCGTTATCGCGTCTGCTCCATCCAGACGATCAGCCCATTGAAACTCGTACACATCACTCCTCCGAACTCCGACCACCGGACCCAGGACTACAACCTTCCAATGACACGAAAGATGGGCGGTCAACGTCTCTGGCGCCCGATTTCGATGTAGAGCCACCTCCAGCGACGGAAGATCGGATGCCGCCCAAGATGAGGAAGAAGTGGATGCATCGGGAGGTCGAGGCGATGAAGGGGATGGGATCGCCTGGTAGCGCCGATAGCCCAGGCGAAAGCGGGCATACGAACGGCTTCGGGCATGGATATGGAGGATCGAGCGGGAAGTTGGGATTGGGCATTCGATTCGGGTCCGAGGGCGTTGAGCACGGTATGTGTTCGTCGTCTTCTTTCTTTTCCATGATATTTATTTGATTTTCTTTCTTTTCTCTCTTCTTAGACGAACACAAGCTTATGCCGCCGCCACCTATGCCCGCCTCCTTGGATCCAACGACAATATCCTCGACGGATGCTGCCGGCGTTCCGAGCCCACAACCTCGTTATCACAACTTACCTCATCTCAACGCAAACTCAAACCATCGACTACCCACATCCACACCCTCGCCTTCCATACCCACCTTTACACCCGCAACTGCCACTCTACCGCCTTCAACCTCTTCTCCGGCCCAATTTTCGCCTTCTCCACTAACATCGTTCGCCAATCTCTCGTTACTCAGTCCTGCGCTCCTCAACCAAGTTCAGCAGAACCAACAAGGTGGTGGCTCGCCCTCTTTTCCATTTCCACCTCTATCGAGGAAGGTCGAGGAGGGCGAGAAGAAGGTCTTCAAGCCGAAGATCTGGGGTCCTCTGAAGGCTGCGTTGCCTCCGTTGTCGTCAGCTCCTTCTCTCCGACCCTCTTCGCCTGTCTCTTCTGCGTTGAAGACGTCATCTTCTGCGAAGGATGTCGTGCGTCAGCCTTCGCCGTCGACTTTGGCACAACCGCCACAACATGAAGAGGAGGAGGATGTGAAGATGGTCGACGGAACGTCGCCGCGAAGTCCAGCGTCCACCAAGGTTCCTCTCCGACCAAAATCACCCTCTCAGGACCCAGATTCGGTGGCATCAACTCCGCCCTCGCGGAACGACGAACCTCTACCACCAGTGGGCGACTTCGTAGCTGAGGAATCGAAGGTTGCAAGGCTGAAGGACGAAGATTCTCATATGTCTGGCGTAGACGATCCCAAGGAGAAGGCAGTCGAAGAACCCCCTTCAATGCCCACATCCACCCCTCCACACACCCTCGCCAGCCGATCGCGAATTTCAACACCATCGGCGACCACTCCACCTCCTCGCCATCGTTCGAAGACGCCGCCAAGGTCCTTATCGCCCGCACCGATGGATCAAGACGATTCTTCCGCCGATCTCGACTGGGCGAACGACACGATCAAGCAGTCGCCCAAAATATCACCCGACTCGCCGCCACCAGTACCGAGCTCGCCTTCGCGGTCGTCTGGGGCTGACGAGGAAGAGAATGCGAGTCCGCCGCCTATGACGGGTAGTACGGAAGCTGCGATGGAGGTGCAGAGGGCGGAGGAGAGGGAGGAGGACCACGAGATGGCACCGCCACCTTCTGAGGCTCTGAAACAGGGTGTGCAGGTCGATACGATTACGATCGTCGTCGAGCCTGCCCCTGCTCCTCCGTTGGCCTCCTCTGAGCTCGCTACATCGTCTCCAGTACCACCATCTGCACCAACACCCTCTCTGCTCGCACCACCTGCCCCTCCTTCCGAACCTACGCTCCTGACATCGCCAACATCTTCCATAGAGGCACCACCTTCGCCCAAAACTCCGTCTGTATTTGTACCCGAACCTGCGCCAGCACCAGCACCTCCAGCCCGCCAACCGTCGCCACCTCCACCTCCAAAGGTCAAGATGTCCTTACGCGACTTTGCTGCTCGACGGAAGAAGCTGAAGGAGGAGGCTGAGCTCTCGAAGAGCATACAGGCCTCGCCTATGAGTGCCACGTCGGTGCTGGCTGCTACGCCGTCTCCGATGATCCCAAACGTGGTGTTGGCGGAGGAGTCGAAGGATAAGGAGAAGGTCGCGTTGGAGAAGGAGAAGAGCGCGTTAGAAAAGGAGAAGGAGACGAAGGAGGCGGTCGAGGTCGGCTCTGCGATGATTGGGGTGGAGACGAAGGCGGAAGAGCGGGTCGTTGCCGTGGAGAAGAAGGATGAGGCGAAGGTTGCTGTTGTGGTTGAGGTGTCGAAGGACGATCGACCGATTCTCGGAGGCTTGAAGGAGGCGAGAAATGGGCTGAACGTACCCGCCATTACTCCATCGACGACAAAACCCATAACGAACGGCCCTCTTTTTACGTATCCATCGATTCTGGTCAACGGACCGAAGGTTGAACCATCGACTTTCGACAACGTTGCGTCGTTCATGCCCTCCTCTCCCATTGGCCCTCACATACCCATTCCTCACGTCAATGGCCACTCCTCTATCTCTCGTTCTCCTTCCGAAACCTTCATCCACTCGCCATCCACTCGCGGATTCATGTCATCGCCGTCCGTCATCGGCTCGCCCCTCATCGATACCCACAAGACGAAGCAAGAGCTCGTCGAGCACCATATACCCCCACTTTCCACTTCTCCAGCACCTCCGTACCTTTCTTCTGCTCTTCTTCGTCGTCCGAGCATCAACGACCGCTCGATCTCGCCGATCAGCCCCGATCCTGGTCTTTCGTCTTCGTCGTTGTTCTCAACTCGCATCCCACACGAGGAGGATGGCGAAATTGGCGAAGGTTCGCCACCAACATCCCGACATCCTCTTCCTTCGAAACGCGACTTTTCCTTCCCTCCTCGCTCGAGCATTCCAACCTGGATGAAGTCCCATACACCTCCAACTGGGCCCAGATCATCCAACGCCGCATCAACTTCACCAACGCCACCCTTTCCTCGACCAGCTTTCGCCTCTTCACAGCCGCCATCATCGAACTCTCTTCCTCCAGGACCCTTGCCCGCTAACGCATCCGCTCCACCTTCAAATAGCAACACCGCGAACATCAATCGACCTATGCCACCCAGCGCCCCGCGCGCACTCCGTCAATCGATGGCGTCGAATCGCCCGCCAGTTGGCCTGCCGGCTCATTCGTCCTCGACATCCCAGTCGCATGGCCCTCATCCGTACGGACAACGAGACCCTAGGAACATCCCTCGAGGACCGTTGTCTGATCGTGATAACCGAGACAGGGACTGGGATCATCGTTCGTATCGTGGTCCGCCACGGAGAGGAGGGTGGGGCAGATAACATTCTCTTCGAGGATTCGGTGTCGTTGGTACTTAGGGTGTTTCGATCTATTTCGCTGTTTAACTTTTCTCCTTACTTATTGCCTTTTTCCTTTATCGTTCCTCTTTGTTTCACCATTCTCTAGTTCATGCCCTTTCTACGAACCCTGCTTTTCGCCCTCTGCTTCTCGTCTATTCTGATTAAGCTCTCCTCTCTCTCTCTCTCTTCGTTTTTCGACGGTTATGTAGCTATCATTATCCTATTATGCTCTCGTTCGCAATGTACAAATTAGTTAGTCGTGAATTATAGATTCGAAACCTAAGCTCGAATTGTTCGCAGGAGACAAGTCAAGTAAGATAGCTTGTCTCCTTTCCCTGCTGCGAGGACCGTATCGATATTTGGATCGCAATTTACACCCATATATTCTCGCCAGCAGTCAGGACAACCGGCATAAACCCGCTACTAGCAGAAATCTGAGAAAGGTAGACGCCGAAAATAACTTCAGACACTACGTCGAAGGAGAAACCGCCGGCTAGATAACAGACTCTTCTTTACATTCAGTGATGAATGATCGCTGCGGGAGAGAGAAACGGTGAAGAATAGGAGAGGAGGAGGAGGAAAGGAAATTATGAGACGAAGACCGTAACACATCCTCCTGGTCGGTGCTCCTCAAACACCATCTGGACGTCGTCCGTCGAACCTATCGTGATAAGGTCTCCATCCTCATCCCGGTAACGCACCCGCAGCAGCCCATCATCAGGACAACCCCCACAAAGCCGAACCTTCCGCCAAATCCTTTCCACCAGATATCCATACTCTGTCACCATTGGGACCAAAATCACAAAGAGGAATTCATGGAAGTGCACCTTAACCTTCATAAAAGGCAGCGGAGGCAGCGGCGGCACGTCCTCAATGCCCAAAGCCCATTGTCGGATATTCTCATCTCCAAGGCCAGAACCTGGTGGAGACCCAGATTCCGCGGTAGTGGACGACGCATCTGAAGTGCCGGAGGATGAAGCCTAAAGTAATACATCCATTAATTCAGCATTCATGCTACAGATGGCCAGCGATGTCGACGAACACGCACATAGAAATGTTCTTGCAGATCCTGATTCGCTTTTCTGGCCTGCCGTTTCCTTCTCCTGACTTCCTTTTGCCTGCTGAGTTTCGTCACGATCTTTAAGGAGCTTGTTTCCTTGAACGAAGAGATGCTGTCGCGGTATTCCTTGTCTGATCGAATAGCACTGAGGTATATATTGAGGCTGATGACCAGAGAAAGAGCCCCATACACATCCTTCATCCGCATATACGTCTCGTAATCTTCGTCAGCGATATCGCCATCTCTATGCGCCTTTTGAAAGGCATCAATAAGTCTGCGCGTCCCTGCTGCCTGCGCATCGTGGCTCTGATCATGACGAGCAGAAAACCTTGCTGCAGACGTGTACGCTGCGGCAGCCACAGTGGCGGCAGCGCCAAGAGCGCCCCCTCCGATTTCTGCCATGCCCAAGGTCGAAGAAAAGGTCAGCACGGAAGTGGGCCGTGCAGTAGCACGTTACGGGTGTTTGTGGCTACTGCACCAATTCGGCCAGGGGGTAATGTGTCCCCGTCAATTGATGAACGCAGTGAATGAAAGGTCCCCCACGGTGAAAATTCACCATATATGGTAGCCGTGAAGTTCGGCACGTCGGCGCCGAATGGTGAAAAAAAAAAGAAAGAAAAGTGGTGCATGTGGATTTCTGTTTCGTGGTGAGTTGAGCCGCTGCAGACTGCATCGATCCCCGTTCACTTTCCGACAACATTTTCCACGATGTTACCCTAGTCAACGAACCAGATACTTATCTCGGCCTTACCGTGGAGGGGCGAAGGTCTCGAGCAAATTTTGAGATAGAATTCAACTGTATTGTCGTCAAATTATTTCTTGTACATAGTGCCAGCCGTCTTCTAGTGGCTTTTCGTCAAGGTGTTTGCGGAGATGCTTTATGACTAGAGTAGGGGAACAAAATCGGGATAGGCCTCAACATCAACGTTGAGGGGAAGCGGGGAGTCAGGCTGCGTCGATGTAAGTAGTGGGCACTCTGCAAGAACCGAAGTCAGAACGCAGTCCGGATCTCGATTGTGGTGGCTCTCCTCATTGGCATAAGCTAATTGCAGATCCCCTGACACCTCGCCTTTATGTGTCCAAACCCCCTTAAAGACTTCTCTCGAAAGCACGTTCGTGAATTTACATTAGCTCGAACTGTACAAAATCCACTTTATCAGCGTTATTACACTCTAGTGACGCGAATGAACGCACGGATGATTTTCTGCATCATGCGATCTCGGCAGAGAGGCGCCCGGTACATTTGCTTGGCCTTACGGCGTCTGTGCTGGCACGATCCCCATTTGGAAAATTGCCACATTTAAATCTATCGAGTAAGCAGTCTTTCTGCTGTGCATTATAAGCTATGGCAATGTTAGCGCGTATCCACTGTTGTCTAAGGATTGTCGCTCGAGGGTAAAACCTCTGCTATCACCGCGCAGGGGGGGCATGCGACGATGACGTTCGGGTGAGATACCCTAGGACTCACTAACACAATATGTAGTGCGGTGATGTGGCAGAATCTTCGTGCTTTCTTGGCGCGACGACGTCGGGTTCGTTGGCAGCGCTTCGGTTCTGGCGCCCTTCGTTGCTCCTCTTAGTCCCGATATGCGGTAGTCTTCGTACCTTTCACCTCAATACTTGTTCCTTTCGTGCTCGTCCCCTTGCGTCACCCAGTGATTCCATCCGCACCTTATCTATCATGAAGCCTGCCATCATTATCGTATTTCTCTGCTGTTGTTCCGTTTTTCCTCCTTCTCCATCAACGATATCACTGTCCCATTACATTCTAAATTTCCTTTAAGTGCAAGGAGAGTTCGTGGGCTGCATCGTGCCTTACGGCGCAATAGTCAAAAGAAAACATACCCCAAACGATAGAGAGGTTCCGAAAGCAAATGAATGGCACCTAGATGAAAAGATTCCATAGTATAGTACAACTACGAACGTTGGTATGGGCCCTGTTTCTTCGGCGGCTTCTCCCTTCGATATCCCGCATTAGTCGTCTCCGTCGTTTCTGCAACAACTTGTCAAAAAGAGAACAAGACATAGAAGTAGGAAGAAACGGACCCTGCCCCGACCCCGTAACCTTCAGCGAATTATCGTTGTGAGAATCCTTCGTGACGTTGCTTGAGTAGTTATGCGAGCCAAAGCTACTCGTATGGATGCTGTTATCGACCTGGGTGTACCCATACGGGTGGATGTTGTACGGAATCCCACTCGCCGCCGCAAGGTGAGGACCGAACGGTGATGACTGAGGAGGTGGAGCCGAAGCCCATGCGGGCTGCATACCGGCGCCGGAAGGTGGAACGCCAAAAGGCATTGGAGGCCCACCGAAGCCAGCGAACGCGCTTTGGTGAGGTGGAATTTCCGGGTCCGAGTTCGGGCTTTGAGGTTTCGGCGTCTTGGTTTTCTTCTTCGTCTTTGTCGTCGGTTCATCCCCAGGTATCGACGCAGCGCCGGTGTCAGCACCAGCACCAGCACCAGCACCAGGATTTGGCGCTGGAGGGTCTGACTTGACACGCGAGAACTCAGGTCGTCCCTCGACCCCTTCCTCGTCCGAATCGATGCTCATCCGCTCCATACCTGCCAAGAGTCCAGCACGAGGAGCCTTCGGTACGCGTTTCTTCTTCACGAATCTTGTCTGCTGCTCCTCTGGTTCGCTGTCGTCCGAGTCGTCGTCCGAGTCGCTCTCAGCCGGCTGTATCTGCGTTGACGCAGACCCCTTCTTCCTCCTCGTCCCAGTCTCCACACCAATCTCCGCCATATCCTGATCCAGCGTCGCCTTCGCCTTATTCATCGTATCCGCGAACATCCTCTTCGCTTGATCGTCCATCTGGTAGACACCACCCGGCCCCGACACCTGCTGTTGATAACCCCCGTACCCACCGCCTGGATACGAATTGTACGAAGGCATGGGCGGTGGGTAACCATACCCTTGATATCCGTACATCGGCTGTGGCGGGGGCGGAGGGTAGGGATAGGGATGGTGTCCGTACGAGTAAGGCATGGGAGGGTGGTACCCCCGCCCAAGGGCGCCGCGGGCGTAAGGGTTGCCTTTGTCGCCGGGCGGCGGTGGATAGCCGTCCCAGCCTGTGTTGGATGGAGGTGTGGTTGGCGGTGCTAGTCGTTGGTCGTCTTCTGACTCATTTTCGTCGGCCATTTGAGTATCATTGTCTTCGTCTAGCGAGGAATGAGGAATGAGGGCGGAGGATGGTATTAAGGCGAAAATTTACGGACCTTCAGATAAATACGCTTCCTTCTTTTTCTTCTTTCGCTTCTTCCTCTCGCTCGGTGGAGGCGTACCTAGAGACCCATTAGCGTCGAGCTACGTGGCAATAAATGAAGTAGTGACGGACGCACCGTATTCCTGCGAATTATTATTATGCACGTTGTCGGCGTGTTGGTTCGTCGTGTTGAATGAGTCTTGAGTATAGGTACGGCTTCCTGGTGGCATGTTCTCGGGGTTCATGAGGGCTGGATGGGCAGACGGCGGAGGCAGAGGGTGGATTGGTTGACTGCCTAGCCCACAAACGATCAGCACCGCGACGGCATCAACCCAAGTGGGCGCTCGAACAAGAACTCACCAGAATCCGAACCCGCCGATCGTGGTCGATCGCGTCCCATACTTGGGGGCAGGAGATGTGGGCCCGTTCCATCTGTACGTCCAACTCTCAGCTCTCTACGCCGATCTCTTATCACCCAAGCCCGAGCAGAAAAGACGCACGATATCGTTGGGAGTTATCGTTATGCGACCCCTGGACGACGCTCGACCGAGTATTGAACGAGTCGATGTTCGTCGTGTGTCGGCTGTTGTCAAAGACTTGCATCCCACCGCTGACGACATTGAATGTGCCGCCACGAATGCTAACGTTCTTCGCATTCTCGAAGAAAGCAGGCATCGTCTTGGTTGGCCGGAGGGCGCGGACAGACCACCGAGCGAGAGATATTGAATATAGAGAGGAGGGGGAGTGACGGAGGGAAGGTTCGGATGGCTACCTGGCGCCGTGCGGTGGGGAGGGGAGTGAACAAGAGGCAAAGTTCCGAAATAGACGCTTGAGTATATAACCAGCGAGGCCTCGAGGCAGGCCACAGGGCCGTGGGCGTTATTCCTGGAACTGCTATCGGACATCACGAGGCGGCGCCTGTCAAAGGCCATAGCTGGATTGGAGGTGTGAGAGGACGAATGGGCGATCGGAAGAAAGGCGGAAAACCGCCCAGCACAGCCTTGTTCACGATGATCAAGAATTTTCGGCTAGATAAGATAAAGAGGGTCATGGACACGATGAAGAGGGAAAACAAGAGCGAGTGGGGAAATAAAATCTGGAAATAGGCACCGTTGTCGTCGCCCAAGTACAAGGACAGCCGGAATGAGAACACGTATACCTTCACATTAATAGTTGAATGACGCCACAGCCCCTGGGACCCACAATAGTATAGAGAACGCGGCGATGCGCCGAAGATAAATTCTCCAACTGTCGGCGCGTTATATACCCAGGCGGTTGAAACAATGAGAACTTTGTAAAGCGCTGGGAAGAAAATTAGCTATCATAATATGGCCTAGGTGAGCAGGAATGGGTCGATAAATCGGTATTGCGGGGGTTTGTTGCTGTTCTAATATTAGATCATTAAGCGCTGGTAATGTCGTAGGGCTAGGGAAGAAGCCGCGAAGTGGATCACTAAAGAAGGTATTGAGCAATACAAAAATAGTGTATCTATTAGTTTTCAATTTTTCGCTCGACCGACTCCTGGGCGTTGACACTCTGTTCAGCTGAACACCCGTTCAAGAGGCTACATGACATATTTGAGCGGGTACTGGATAATCTCTTGTCCTCGTTTATTTATAAGTCCCCATGCTTTCAACCAATCGACGCGAAGCATTGCCAGAAATTGAGAATTTGACCCTGATAACATATTACTTTTCTAATTGAGCGCATGCTCTCCGTTAAGCGCTCGAGACGAGCTCTATCATATCTGCAATCTTCAGGCGCCGATCTATACGCGGAGTCCGTCATATCTAAGCGGTATCCGTCTCCACAGCCAATCAAAATAGCTGAAAACCCTTCGGAAAAGCCTGTTACCATTGACAAGAGGTGAGATACCGCCCAAAAAGGCGAAATTCGTGAGAAACACTTGAGAAATACGCGCTCCAACCTAGAGCACAGATCGATCTCAGCGCTGTAGCAGCTCCCTAAACGCTGATCGCGTCTGGCATTTAGAGGAGAAGCTTTCCTCTCTTCTTCTTACTCTCTCTTCTCTTTTTCTCTCACGTTTTCGATTTATTTTGAATTAATTTGTAATACCTCCACAAACATCGCGCCCTGCTTGGTATCGAAATTACGCCTTCGATCAGGCAGCACGTGACTGGCTTGGCCTAGAGCGGAGAATGATCTGTTGTAACTTGTTTTTATTTACTTCGACCTTCATCCACAATGGAGCCCCCCTGCGGCTTCTGTCGGGAAGGCGAGTGCCAGGGAATTAACAGATTCGAGAGCACCTGTACTCGATGCGACCTCTGCCAGCGTCAGGATGGTGGCCCATGCGATCCCAAACGACTCAAGCAACTGAAGCGGACCCCCAACGCGTGTTCAACCGGAGATTTGATTGACTCGAATCAGAAGGAATCTGCGGACGATAGGTTTCTGAAGGCCAGCTCGCCCCTGAAACTGCCCAAGGGTACCAAGGCCTGTGTCGTAACCCTTCAGTCCGAGCCTGGGGCGGGGACCGAAATGTGCCACATCGTCGCAAGGAAAAAGAATACGGGCCCTTTCAAGGTGTGTTGCATTTTGAGCGTTGTCGTGCATTACACTCACGACGCGTAACAATAGCTCAGTTATTTTGAGTTCCTGTGGGGCATTGAATACAAAGAATTCTGCGTCGACACGTCGAGGAATCTGATGAGATGTATGTGGTTCGTTGAATCCGCCCAACTGGACCGGTCTAACACTGTGAAACTAGTGTCCGCAGATCTTCACCGCGCATTTGATGAAGACAGCTGGGCACTGCTTCCCATTGACGTCAAGGTCCTTGGGCCTATGAGACTTCACTACGAGGAGTGGAAGATTCTCGGACCTGAAATGAGCCAGAAACAGTATGAGCACCATATATTCAAGAAGGTACGAAGCAGATCCGTTCAGAAAACTGCGATTGACGCGTTCAATACAGTCTACGATCTACGGAAAGAGAAAGGCATTCCGATATGTCTTGCTTCCTCTGGCCTCCCCACGCTTCCATTTGCCTGTTCTTCGTCTTAGGCCTCCCCTCATCGTCCCCCAAACTGCGGCTGACATGCACATTTTCCCATACAACACCCTCCCCGAACTGATTCTTCACGTCGAGCCGCACTATGTGATCTGGAATCTCGGGGAAAATTTCAAGCGGCAAGGACTGACGTCGAAGTACATAGCCGAGGATCCTGCTCTTACACCTCTGAGGCAATACACCGTCGCCCTCAGAGAATGCTTGGACATTTTTGAGATGTGGTATGGCTTCAAAACTCCGGAGTGGTTCTATGACAATGATGACGACGACGACGACGACGACAGCGACGGCGACAATAACAACAACAACAACGAGTTGGATCCGAACGCCGGTGGCCCCTCTCGTGGCACACGTGCTCAAAAACGCAAACGTCCCACTAGAACGGATGGTCCCGGAGGAGACGGCTCGCGGGGATACACCTTGAGCCAACATCCCGAAGACGAGCTGATGGACGACATCAGGTCCGACGACTCGTCGTCTCGGCAAGATGATGATAAGGACGACTTTATGGAATCGGAGGAGGACTTCTCAAACAGGATTGATGGATGGCGGGGAGAGGTGGCGATTTTCAATGAGAGCAGTGATCTGGAGGGTTCTGGTTTGGACATGGCTGTCATTCCTCCTTGTGGCGGCGATTCCGCCTTTCCAGAACGTAAGTAGTAACTACCTGCAACCGCGCAAATTCGACGACGGACCCTTGGTCTTCCCTCTCAACCGAACGTCGCTCGTGATCATCATTCGCGTTCGGCTCTTTGGGCTTTTCCTCCTCAACCTTCTCATCCTCGTCTCCGTCTTTCCCCGTCACAACGAGGTACACACTACCCATCGACTCACTCAATCCACTCAATCCACTCTCGCGCTGGGTGATGTTGACTTCCTGAGGTCGTTGAATCAATAGCCTCGGATGACTCTTCCTCAACCTCCTTGGCTGCTTCTCCTCCTCGTCAACCAGCTGCTTTTCCTTTCCACCCCTTTCCAGCTCATCCACCATCTCTGCCTCCGTATCGCTCTTCAGCGGCAAGTTCGGCGTCGATCCGAGGCGAAGCCAAACTCACAGCCTTGGATTTGCGTTGTTCGTGGCTCCAATAAATCTGCAACAAGTGTCTTCTTCGCGAACGAGGCTTGGTGTCGTCAAGTACGTCATCAGCTGGGTCGAAAACTGGACGTCCCTTCGGGGTAGCAGGCAAAACCGGAGATGTAGGCGCGGATGAATTGACCTTCGAGACTTGATCTCTCCTCTTCGTCGTTTCCTGGCGGCGCTCCTCGACAACCGAATCAGACGCCTCCACGTCGACCTGACGTGAAAGTATTGGAGACTCGTCTCAGAAACCGTCGCTTGATGTTGCCGCTGACGTGCAAACACCACACCACCACCACCACCCGCACCCGCGCTTCTCAACCCCAACGGACTAATGGGCCTCGAGGGACTGAACGGAGTCCTAGGCATCCTCGGCGTCGGAGGAGTACCCTTCGGTGGCAGCGGAAACCGGTCAGCCCAGACCTAGATATAGTATTTTTCCCTGACCATTCTAATAACTATGGGCTCGGAGACAGAGGACCGCCATGCGACGGAAAATGGTTTGCTTTGCTTAGAATTCCTTTGTGCGTTTTGGGCCGAGATGCATATGTCACTCTGCCTTCCCCTCAAAGTTCACCGGATATAAGAGCTGAACCGAGCGTTAAATGTAGAAGAATAGGTGATTACACCTCTACGCTTCCCATCATAATGCTCGATCCGGACAGTGCAGGGCACAGACAGCCGGAAAAAGAACGAAGTAGACGGTAGAGAAATTCCTGATAAGTAAAGAAATATGAGTGATTCTCACGAACTGCCTAATTTAAATTCAAACCAGTGGTATTATTAAAGCTGACGCCTCGCAGTCGACCGCCTCTGGCTCATGCTGCCAGGTACGTTTACAATCTAACGCCCTTGCCGTTCATGCGGATCGAGAGTGGAAAAGTTCGGCTGGTGACAATGTATTGGAATGTACTGCGGCGATGGGGCCAAATATTGTGATCAACTGGTCCTATCGTCAGTAGACGCAGATGCTCGGCGGGCATTGGGCGCCGGGCGCTTATTTTCAGGGGCATGCCCAAATCAGGACACCGATCCCTCGTGGAAAAATGATCCGCCAGGGCGCTCGGGCCGACGACGCCTCCTTTTCTACGTATCATTCTCCAAGGTTGTCCTCCACCTCGCTTTCGGCACTGAACCTTCCGACGAACCTTTAAAAATCGTTACCAATATACGTGGGTTCTGTAAGATTTACCCCATCGAGTCGAACTTAAGTCGAACGCAGATCCCGCCGAGAATTTTTTTAATCCGCTCCAGTCGTATTTTGTCAATGAAATAAGTGTTTCAAGGTAGGGAAAAGACGCGTTGAGGAGGAATTTCACTACTAATCGAAAGGATAAATATGTCTTGACACATCCCTCATCCATTGAATATCGATGTCTGCCAAAGGTGCTCGCAATTTCATCACGTTTCGTTGGTCCCCGCGAATTTGCGCATTGATTGCCCTGAATTACCAGACCTTCACTCAGTAGCAATCGCACCGAAGTTGATGAATGTACGCACTGCATCATCGGGTTCGAGCCCCACACATCTGGGAATTTCTGCTTAATCGCACGGAGCACTCGCGCTCGATAAACGTCGACAGGATAAATGGGGACGAGGCCACACATGATGCCGAACTGCCGGTAGACGAAATGCAAGTACACGTTGAAGGCATCGCGGTTGTCGGACAGATCCATTATGCGTCGTACCAAGGGCGGGTCCACAACCTCGAAGGACAGCTCTCCTGAAGTAAACACTGGGTCGTCGGGAGGGGGTACCATGCTCTGCGGTAAGAAGAAACACTGGAGATCCCCTGGGGGCTTCAGCGTGCTGAGAAACATGACGTCGATGTCGGGATGTTCAACGGCCTGTGTCACGACTGGTGAGATAGGATGAAGATACATGCACAGTCCAACGTGTGGAATACGGCGAAGATTGTGCGATCCATCGATATCGTCAAGGAGATGGAAGGCGATCGCAATCCGTGCTTTCAGCATTAAGTCTGGGTGCTTTCGGAAGTTGATACTGAGTTTGTTCATCACCTTTCTCTGTGGGTGAGCAGGTCTGCAAAATGCTTTGTGTTTCGGCCTGTTGGCCGGTCGACGGTGGATGATCTGAGTAAGCGAGCATCTTATAGCCAAGAATTGCTCACCAATCTTCTTTTTGGCACTAGGTAAATATAGTGTCAACAATACTCTCAGCGCCTGCCCTTCGCGACCAAAGACCACTGACCTCTCGTGAGCAGTACCTTACCGCCTCGCACTAGCCGAAATCGATACAATCAGTTCCATCTAGTTACTAAATTGAAGATTAAGTTTTCGTGCTTACCCCAGCGCACAACATAAGCTTCCCATGTCCTCGCCTATCCATTCCTCTCGATCGGTGGCGGAAAGAAGCGTTCCCGCATCCAACAGTAGTCGTCCCATCGAATATCTCTTGGATCGCCTCGCGATCGTCGGCTGTGAATCTTAGTGGAGTATTCATGGGATCGAAGGCAGGATCATTGGATGGGTTGGATCCCATAGTGAGGACAGCGTATCCAAATATTCGAGCGGGGGGACGTTCGCGTCGGTGAGACGAGATCAAAGCACCTCTCGGGATTCAGGAGGTCGGCATTTCCTGTGAAAATCGATGACAGTCGCAGTTCGCGATATTTATAGAACAAGACTAACCGGAATTATACACCCTCCTTTTCACTCTCGCAAGTGTAACTTCTTTCTGGAGTCCGCCATCGTGGCAATGAATATTGGCCGGTGACCTTTGATTCAACGGCCATCTCTTCTTCCACTAAAACTTTCTCTAGACACAAAAGAAATTTCTCAATTCGTAAGTAAACTTAGAAATCCTATTCCGTCGAGGCAAACGAAAGAAACCACTAGAGAGTCGGGGCAGCTGTTGGACTTCCTGTCTCTATGTCGCTATGATTGGGCTCGCGAAACACGTAAATACCCTGATTATACTTATCCACACTTCCCTGATTCCTATCGTGGCACATAAGACCATCATTGACGCCCGTCTGTCCCCTGGCCTCTCGTTTTGCCCCGTGGCTGTGCTATAACGCAGACAGCATGGCCACGCGGCCCGCTTTCTCTTGATTATCAACCATGATGAACATCGGTGAGTCCCATTCGTATTTTGTTCTTAGCTCAACATTCTAAATCTCTAACCTAATTGTTGACGTATTAGAGCTCAATACTTCCCCTTAGGATTTGACGTGCCACAATCTGAGCCGCACTTTGGGCCCGACCACTCCTCGCAGTTCTGAGTTCGTGCCCATGTCTCGCCATGAGAGTCGTCCACGTCAGAGATGGAGTTTTATATTAAAGAGAAGGGCCAGCGATGAAGTTCACCTTCGAAGTAAGTTCTCATATTCCTTGTCTCTGACTTTCTCATTAACGTTTTTGCACAGCTGGCATATGACACGATTATTCGAATGAACCACCTTGGTCCACTCATCTCCGCCATTTCGGCCCCGTGGCAAGTCGGACTACCGCTACGGATAAAGGAATCGTACCGGTAAGTTACACTGTGTTCGAATGGCTCGGCCTGACCGACCTTGCCAGAATTCCTAAGCTTCATCAGTGTGTCAGCATTGTTATCAGGTCATACATGCCTATGGGGAAGAGGATGGATAGGTGGCGTAGCATCGAATTATCGACAATGTTTCGATTATTTAGACAGTTCGTCTTTTTTTATGCTCGTTTCACGTTCAGACCCTCCC